CCCCAAAACCCCAAAACCCCGCTTCTCTGTATAGAGTCAAATTTCTGAGAATAAATACTTAAATTACCAAACTTACTTGTATATATTATTTCACACAATCAAATTCAATACTTGTAGTTGTTGTAACCACCATTATGTCCACTACTAGTATTAAACTGATTCATGTAATTATTCATATAGTCTCCATTACCACTGCTCTTCTGATAGTAGTGTCTATTACCAGCAGTATTGTGCTATGAATAATTATTGCTTTATTGAGTGTGCTAGGATTATTGGGAGAATTTTCTTTGCACTTTTTATTGGGAGAAGTTGTTACTTTCAATCATATTAGTGCCTTGATTATAAGAGTTGAAAATTTGTGGGTACATCTTTGATAGTTTAGTGATAACTTTCTAGCCATGTTTAGTTCTTGAAAGTTCACCTGAAAGTTGGTGTATCCTCTCGAGCATCATTACTCGAAGCTGTTCGCTTTTCGCAATTGTGATTATCTTTTACAGAACATAGTTTCCAAACTGATGGAAGATCAATTTATCAACAATATAGTTAACCCTAGCTAGTTTATTTTTGGCTTATAGGACACCTAACTCATTAACTATAGTTTAGTCATCCTAATCAAAAGAACCTTGCAGAATCATGTCAACTGTTACATTTCTCATTCTACTTTCAAGACACTATATAAATATGAAATACTTGGAATCATACCTTTTCTATGACATTTGACGAGAATTTGAGTTAGCTTAATCTAATAAAATCGCTGCCAATCATTTAGAAAATTTAATCATTTCTTCCCAAATTATTCAGTTTGAGCACATTTTAAACTAAATAGTTTCCATAAGGATCCTCGATCAATGAGTGCAGGTTTTAGATTATGACATCAGCTAAAGCTAGTTTTTAAACTTCTCTGCCCTTTTCTAAACATCTCTACATTACGCAGCAGCCATGCTTATGTGAACCAATCTCAATACAATCTCTAATGCAAGCGTCAAAGATAAACTGTGTGTATTTTTGGTAAATTTCAGAACCCTCTTAGTCATGATCCTCGGGGTTCATTGAAGATTTGAAAATGCACAAAAAAGCTTGAATAACATGATTACCATGCACACTAAGACTCATATCTTTGATGTATTGATTTAAGAACTCTATGATTCTCATCATTTCAGTATCAAGGACTGAAAGATTTTTGCTGATAATTTCAATCAAAAATTGCACAGCTCTAGTCCCATGAATGCTCATTGAAATTTCTGTGATAGATGGAAGAATTGATGAAATGATTTACTTAATTTCTTCATGACTTGATACTTCTAGTATCTTTTGAGTTAGGTAATTTCCAAATTGATCAACCATAATATCTTAAAATATGGGAAGAAGTCTTTATATCAAGGCTTATTTGAAAATATCATCTTAATCTTCATCAAGTCTTTTTTACAACATTCTGCAGCCAGCTTAGTCGTAACAATAAAAATCGGATTAATTGATAATCTCCTAATCTTCTCTAGATAATTTTTCGAATGGCGTGGAAGGCTTTATTATACTAGGCTATTTCTCTAAAGCTAGCTCACTTAGAATGGGGATACTCTTTAGTGATTATTCGATCAAGTCTCTCTCAGGAATAATGGAGTTCTTTCTGTCACTTCCAATCTCATCTAATGAATCACCATCACTCAAGAATTCTAAATTACTGAGAGCAGTGTTAAATATTTCCTCAGTAAGAGATGATCCACTAGTATTCAAGGGGGATTCTTCTCCTCTCTTGCTCTAATTGTTTTATTGGTTACCAAGTTTGATGCTCCCCAATCTTGCCATAGTATTGCTGTTCAATGAGTCTTTTTGCCTTCTATTTTAGTTGACTCTCTTACTGTCACTTTAGTCATCATCATGAGTAGTCTAAGAAGAGGTGGAAAGTGGTCCACCATAAAAAGTCTTTTTGAAATCATTTTGGTAATATTATAGCCACGAGTTTTAATGAATACCCTGTCCCCACTAATTTCCGTAGTCAATACTGCCTCTTGATCCATTGTATTCTTGATTTCCGCATTGTGAAACATTCGCAAAGCAGTCTGAAAATACTGAGGTGAAATCATCGTCCTATATGTATATTACAATGATGTATTATAACTACTCTGAAAGCGAATAGCGTCATTGCATTGAGCTTAGGAATCTTTTAATCTTATTTTTGCTAATTGTTCATTTGTCTAGTGAGATTATCATTTTGCAGACCTTTTGGGCTCAATCTTCCTTGACTTTCCTTCAGGCACAAATCTTTTCCAAACTATTACTGATTCTCAGAAATTTCCCTTTCTCTGGCATTGTAAACCTGATATTGATCAGCAAACTTTTATGATTAATCAATCAACTCATCATGATCGAACTAAAAATAAAGTTTATTTCCCAGAGCGATATTTTATTTATGCATACTTTTTTTAGTTGATCAACTTGAAATCTCTGCAGTCTTTCTACTCCAGTTTCTGCTTTTTTGTTCATTTCATTTCTAGGACTCAGGCCTTTGCCAGAGAATTGAATAGGGTGTCCTTAAATGGGGGTTTAAATTTATGTAGATGAATTCTTGTTATTCATTTTCTATAGTTTTTAAAGAAGCATGGCTTGTCAAAGTACTTCCCACACAATAAAATTTTAAGTAATCAAAGAAGTTTTAATTAATTTTATTTCCCAATTAAATTTTTAAATCCATACCTTACGGGGTTTTGGGGTTTTGGGGTTTTGGGGTTTTGGGG